GGTTAGGAGATGTGAAGGTATTAGCAGAGGTAATATACATATCAAATTTTCTCTTCTCTTTCATATTAGCCCACAAAATACTCAATCAGTCCTAATTCTTGGTAGTAACACTTGAGTAAATTAGGGCCATTTTGGGTCATTAATAAAATCATTGCTCTAGATCTTTCATAATTTCTTCCAAAGTAAACTTGCCAAAATAGAACATATTTGATGACTACAACCAATGATAAAATGTGATTAAAATCTCTTATAGACAAACATTATGCTGTAAAAAATTCAGATAGATTTAGGGAAAAGGTAATTTGTTAAGTAAAATTTCAGATTATGTTGCATCTGTTCATCTTTTTTTATTCTTGTATTGTTATATATTTCCATACTGTGAAAATCTGCATCTTCTGTGCTAGCTTTGTGACCTTGAAAACTGTTCAATGTTATAGAGAATCTGTTTCTTCATATTTAAATCAGGAATACTAACCAAATCTACCCGATAGAGATTTGTGACTGATAAATAACTTAGTATATACAAGAAATGCTTAGGACAACACACAGCATATGGTGAGTGAGCTCAATAGAGATGTTAGTTAGTCTTTGGACGACAGAATCAATTCTTATGGCCCTGTGTTGAATTCAGAGGATACAAAGACAAAAGGTGATAATTCCTGAGAGAAGGCTTCATGGCAGACATAAAGCCTAATGCAAGTCTCTGTTTTTTTTTTCTCTTCTTTTTTTCTTTGGTAGCTCAAAAACAATTATTTATTTATGAGTATACATCTTCACTATTTATTATGCTCATCAGCATTCATCAGAGTTCCTATTTTGTCTCTTTTCTGAAAAATTTATTTTTATTATTGTTGTATTGGGAGTATGTTGTGACATTTACAAAGTTCTTGCAATATAAAATTGAATTCATCCTCTCTGTCATTCTCCTTTATACCCACTCCTGGAACAGTTTCAACATGTCTTCTTTTTCCACCTTCATATATGAGTATATAATATTTCTACCACATTCACCTTCCTACACCCTTTCCCTACACCGTCCCCCTCCTACTGGTGCCAACCCCCAGACAAGACCTGTTTTACCTTCTTATTATCTGTTTTTGAGAAAAGACATTTTTGTTTGTATAAGATAATATACAGAGAGTTTCATTTTGACATTTCCACCTATGTATGTATTATAACCCAAACTGCTTCATCCCCCCTTTTTTTTTTCTTTCTGCCTTACTCCCATCTTGTAGTGATTTCAACAGGTTTAAAAATTCTGTATTCCTTCTTATATACAAAGCATATCAACCATATTCATCTTCCACATGAAACTAAAAAGCTCTGTACAACAAAAGCAATGGTCACCAGATTGAAAAGGCAGCCCACAGAATGGGAGAAAATGTTTGCCAGCTATACTTCTGACAAGGGATGAATAACCAGAATATACAGGGAACTCAAAAAACTAAACTCCTGAAAAAAATCAATGATCCAATGAAGAAATGAGCAAATGAACTGAACACTGCTTTTTCAAAGAAAGGGGTTCAAATGGCTAAAAAACACATGAAGAAATGCTCAACATTCCTGGCCATAAAAGAAATGCAATGCAAAACCACGTTAAGATTCTACCTCACTCCTGTTAGAATGGCAATCATCAAGAACACAAACAACAACCAGTATTAGCCAGGATGTGGGGAAAAAGGAACTCTCATATACTAATGGTGAGAATGTAAATTAGTACAACCACTATGGAAAACAGTGTGGAGGTGCCTCAAAAATTAAAACTAGAACTGCCACTCCTAAGGATGTACCAGAAAGAATGTAAGTCTGATGTAAGTCTTGAAAGAAGAGTGGGAACTAGCCAGATAGAGGATTGTGCAGGTCTATCTGTGACAAGAGGATGGGGCCTGAGGGAAGTGTTTAAGGAGGAAGATGGAGCTCAGTGAACAAAGATGGTATTCTGAGGAAACAGTATGTAGTTTAATATTGCTAAAGCTCTTTTGTGAGTTGGAGTGGTAGGAGGTGAGAGTTGAAAGCCTGACAGTGAATCAGCCCACCCTGGGGGAGTGTAGAATGAGAAATGCAGTGAATTAAGGACAAGGACTGGTGGAACTCTAGCACTGAATGCAGCAGTTTAGGAAACAGAGCCTAAAAAGGAGACAAGTTTCCTGCCTGCCTTCTTTTCTTTCCCACTCATTCAGGAATGGCTGGGATCATTTCTGATACAGATCAGATAGAGAAATGTAACATTGTGGCTAGGGAAGAAGCCCAAGAGACCAACATTACCCCTAGTAAACAGCTGGGAGAGGAGAGGTAGGAGAGTCAGAGAAGCCACAACAGCAGTGACTGGACTCCAAATCTAGGTTCAGGGCATTAAAGTCTCTGGTGAAAAGGAAGATTGGTAGAGATGGATTTTTGAGGGGTTTCTGTGAGCTATGAACTGAATCTTCCTTGCTGTTCTTTAAGAGATAAAATTAGAAGTTTCTTACATTATTTTGGCATAACTGAACAGAGCTCCTTTGTCTGCTGGCAGTCAGATGGAGTCCTGGTTTGATTATGGTTATCAAAGGAATGTAGGATAAGTAGTAGAAGAGATTGCAATGATCACCATGCAAATTAACTATTACTAGTATGCTAAACTAAGAGCAGTAAGAAGTTAATAGCAGCAAGCTCTGCTCCATTCTATGAGGTAGGACCACTATTTCTATTTTGAAGTGGTGGAACTGATTTTCCCAGTTACACAAGTAGAACTTGGTGAAGCCAGGAACTGAACCCACACACTTAAATGTGCAGAAACCAAGGATGTATTTTAGGTAAAGGACAGAGGGGTACAAGATAACAAAGTTTTTTACTACCTAAAATTGTATTTTATCTGTAAAACAAGGATTATACTTAATATAGATATCTTAGGCACTTCTCCTTTTAAGTTGGAAAACTGTGATAATGTCCATAGCTTAAAGAGCAGTGCTCTGAGGGTGGGGTGAGGTTTTCCTTTTCTCGCTTTTTCCCTTTCCCAAGTACAAAGTACTCTGTATAATGTAGACTCTGAACCAGCACTGGCTGAATGGACATGCTCTGTAATACAATTTGCGTGGCACCCTGTGGATGGCCGCTCAAGCATGGTCACACAAAGGGGCTGGCATTTATAACCTGGAGTTCCTTAATTGAAACATATGTAGGTTTGTTTTTTGAAACAGACTCCTGTTCGCTTGAAATAAGGTCATAAAAAGTGGATGAAGAATAAGTATTTTTTATAGCCATTTGCAGGCCTGTTTGGGGATGTGTTGTTCACTCAAGTTTTGGAGGTACACGTGTGTTGCCATTCTTTTGGCTTCTGCCTGTCCCCATTCTCTTATATTTCTTCCTTCGTTCCCTTGGCTTGTTGTACCTGGCTTCAAGAGTTGAGGGTGAGAGGTTTACTGGCTCTAGTCACAATTCAAATACTTCTGATTTCCTCACTTGAACGGACCCTGAGCAGATTGGTTCTCAGCTTTTTAAGGTATAAAGGATTCTTTGGGTTTATATATATGTATCCATGGTCTCCTGGGTGAATTAGAAAACAGTGAGGACAATAATGTATTTGCATTTATTTGTGAATATTCATATACAATTTCCTGTCTCACTTGGTAATTTCTTTTATAAAGATGCTTACAAAACATGGCTTATAAAGCATCCCAAAGATTTGCTGTATATTTAGTGAAACCAAAATATTTAACACAATCAAATATTCTAAGTTCTAATAAGGCATTTAATTTTAATTTATATAAATATCCCTTCACAGGATTATTCTTTAATATTTATTTAGATTAATGTGTATTGTGATTTGAGTTTGTCTTTCTTTCTTTTTTTTTTTTTTAAGACAGGTGTTTCCCTGTCTTGCTTTGGCTGGTCTTGACCTCCTGGACCCAAGGGATCCTCCCATCTCAGTCTCCCCAGGGTTGGGACTACTGGCATGTACCACATCACTGTGTGCCTGGCCTATGATGGAATTTTAGCAGTCACTTTGGGAACATAATCGAAAATTTCTGTTCTAATACTTAAGTATTTAAGGTCCACACCAAATTCTTTAGCATGTGATACAAAACAGGAAAGTCACTTCTCTGAGCAAATTTGAGTCTTTATTTTGTCTGCCATTCATTCACTGATGCAACATTTTATCGATTGCTTATTATTTGCTTGACGAGGTGGTGGAAATAGGGAATACAAAGAAACTGGCCAGATTTCTTGTTTAGAAGGACTGCTCTCAGTCCAGTGTTGTGAAAGTTCACAGCAAATGAGCTTTCAGCGGCCTTATTTCAATGATGTATATTCTTCTCCCAGCATTAAAATCATGTTTACCTAAATGTTCTAAATCAACTAATCAATTTTTTGAAATTATACAACTTCAATTCTTGAGACTTGATTTAAAACGATTACTGGGATTCATTGCCTCACCAATCCTTTTGACTGACAGCTTTAACACACCTCCTTTAGGAGAGGCTGTGCTAGCATTCTGGAAGTTTATAATTAAGTTCAGTGTTTGTGTGTGGGATAGGATGGGGAAGCAAACGACAAATAATTATAGAGTCTCGTTAGTGAACTCCTGCCAGGCTAAGTAGCAGAAATATCAGAAGCGGATAAAGTTTTCCGCATTCTTAAACAAAAGTCGACTGGAAGTTCCCGGAGGGACGAGGGAGCGTAGGGTGCTCTTGCCACTCTGGTGAAGACGGGTGGGTGGGAACGTTGGGCCATCGCCACCCTCCAGCTCGCAGTGCTCGGTCTGAGGCCCTCGTCAAGGACAGCTGCCCCTGAACCGGCTCTGGAGGTCTGCGGCCCGGGACCCGAGCCCTACTCCGAGAACAGGCTGCGACAGCCCGCACGGAAGTGCGCTCGGCTCTCTCCAGTCGGAAAGCTCCTCTCCCTCCACTTCCTCCTTCTGCGGGGCGGCCCGGCCTCCCCGCTCGGCCCCTCCCCTGCCTCGCCTCCTCCCACTGCCCCGGCGACTCTCAGGCCGAGGTGCGGCGCTCGCCCCGGCAGTCCCCAGCGCCAGACGCGGCGGCAAGCGGCTGAGTCCCAGGGAGGAGAGGGGCTGCCTGGTTGCTGTCCCCGCCCTGCGCGCCCCGCGCTCCACGTCCCCGGCGGCCGCTGGAAAGCTCAGCCCTGCGCCACCCCGCGCTGTCCCAGCCTCCCTGGGCAGCGGGCAAGCGGGCGGCAAGTTTGGACGCGCGCAGGCGGCGGGCGGCGGGCCGCGGGCACCGTGCGCCCCGGGAGGAGCGGCCGCCTTCGGGCTCGGCGCCCCGCGCGCACTTCGGCGATGGCTTCTCGCGTTCGCCCCCGCAGCCTCCTGCTCCTTCTCCCCGGCCTCCTGCTCCCTATCTGCGGCGCCTTCAACCTAGACGTGAACAGTCCTGCCGAATACTCCGGCCCTGAGGGAAGCTACTTCGGCTTCGCGGTGGATTTCTTCGTGCCCAGCGCGTCTTCGTAAGTGGCCACTCTAGGGACGCCAGTCGACCCCTCCCCCACCGCACGCACTCACCCTGCGTCTCCCCACCGGGTCCTTAGACTCGGAGAGCTCGCAGTCGGCGTGTCCCACCCACTCCACCCCCGGGTGGTTTGTGTCCTGGATGGATGAAATACTTGGGAAGGGGGAGGATGAACTCTCAGCCTAGGCGCTCACCGCGCGGTCCCACCCTGCTCCTAACCCCTTATAATTGGTTGGAGGCAGAGAGAGAGGCAGAGCTTTCAATCAGACCTGTGCTTACAATTGGGGGAAAGTGGGAAATCAACCGATCTCTATCTCTGTCACTGTAGGGACTTGGTTAATTTCATCTCTGAACTTCTTTTTCTCCTGTACCAGTTAGCCGTCCTTTTCTGCTTCACAGACTGAACGCCCATCTTTTCTCCCTCCCTAAAGTCCTTCCCCAGTCTTTCGCCTGCCAGTTTGATTTTGTTCCTTCTCACTCCTTTTTTCCAGACACTCAGATGACTAAAGTGACCATATTTTTACATTAAACTCACTGTATGCTATTCTTGGGACTGTGAGTTGAGATCTTTGCGCATTTGAGGCCGAACAGATGAATTGAATGTGTCATCTGCTTTTTAAAATAGTGATTAGCTATTTAGTTCGTTGTTCACAAGGAACAAGGGTGTTTGCTGAGTTTTCACTTTGCAAGTCACTTGAGTCCTGCAGTATATAACAGTTATGTTTTCAAATTGTCGTCGTATCGCGTTGCAGAGATCATCAGGATTTGTAACAGTTACTGTCATTATTGGATTAAAAGTTGTCGCTGACATCATTCTCACCACCACCCCCATACTGGCATTAGAAATACTGATTTGGTGAGTGTTCAGTGGAAGTTTTATGATGTTTAATTCTTGATTTCAAGAGGCAACCTGTTCCTTCAGTCCTTTCTAAGCTCTTAGAAGTTGAAACAACATATTTTTGTTTCTATAATTTTCTCTCTAAGGTATGTTTTTTGGAAGAGGGGTACTGGATAATTTTGGTGGTCAGTAACTTCTTTGGATCGTTTTTCCAGTCCATACTACCTAATTCCAGGGTGGTCTAAATTTATTTTCAGGATTTTTCTGAATGTGGCTGATTCATTCATTTTAGTAACAACCTCTGCAGCAATACACAGATTGGATGTAGTCAGTGGAAATTAGCCATTGCTGTATGTAGCAAACAGTTTTGTTTGTTCTTTCCAGTTATAGTGCTTCCTGTGAGGCCTGAGCACATATTTTCCAAAATAATTTGAACATCATTAACTGTGACATTTGCCATCTTCACATTTGATGTAATTTTGGGGGTGGGGGTGGTTTTTGAGATTGGACCCAGGGGTCTCTTTTATGCCAACCTTGCACTCTAACCTCCAGACCCTCCATGTAATCATAATAGTTAGCCTTACCTTTTAGAAGTTTTTAGGCTTTGGATATTTTTAAGTATATGTCTTTAGAGCATTTTAGTCACTTCTAAAGGTGCACTTTTAGATTTAATTTGTACAGAAAATCTGATAGTTGTGAAAATATTTTTATCTGTCTTGTGAAGAGTTAGCATTTAAATACTTCAGAGTTGATGGGGTATTTTGCAAATGTTTCTGTTAATTCTGTGGCAACCCTTTGAGTTTAGTGTAAAGATACATGGCAACTTGACAAACTTCTAATCATTTTTACCATGAAAAATGCGGTAATATTGAACTATTGATCATATCCATTATAATCATTGAATATACTACAAACTCACATATTACATGACCTCATATTTTTGTATGTCCTCACCATGAGAATTTAATGGTAAGACAATTGAACTAGGGTTCAGTTTCATATAATATTTTGAAATACTCACCAGCAGCCTTGTTACTGCTAGACTAGGGAGCTCTAGATACAGCCTAAGCTAAAGTTTAAGCCAAATTTGAGATTAAAAAATGAGATATATATAAATTAAGTTTCTACTTATTGACCTCCTCATATTAAACAAATCTTAGCATAAAATTATGCTTAATTCTGTAAAAAGGCACTTGATTTTTTTTTTTTGGTGGGACTGGGTTTTGAACTCAGGGCCTAGAGCTTGCTAGGCAGGCACTCTGCCACTTGAGCCATTGTTCTGCACTTGTAAATTTAATAAGCATTGGAATTCAAAGTACATGGAATGTCACTTATAATATTGTCAGTTGGATTTATTGTTATTTACTGTTAGTATAAACTTTTTTGGGGGTACTAACGTTTGAACTCAGGACCTGGAGCACCTAGTCAGGTGCTATACCACTTGAGTCACATACACGGTCCTACTTTTGTTTGCTTTGGTTATTTTTGACATAGGGTCTTCCTTTATGCCTGGACCAGCCTGGATTGTGATCCTGCTGTTTATGTTGCCCCAAGAGGTGTACTTGGGATGACAGGCATGCTCCACTGCTCCTAGCCATTGGTTGAGATGGGGTCTCTTGACCTTTTTGCCCAGGCTGGCCTGGAATCACCATCTTGATCTCACCTTCTGAGTAGCTAAGATTACAGTTGTGAGCCACCTACTCCCGGCATTATCATAAACTTCTACAGGGAAAAAAATCTACATAATAAAAAGTTTGCTAATTAAAAAGTTCTGGTGCTTTGGGAGGAAGGATTAGGGAAGTCTACTCCAGTTTAAAGTGTTTAAATCCTGGGGCAAACTGTAGCATTGCTTTATGCCTCCTTTTTCTCGTTTTAGAAAATTATTGAATTATGTTCATATTGTTTTGAAAATTAATGGATTAATACTTACAAAAGTGAAACACTAAGCAAAACATGTAAAAGTGACCCTTCAAACATTGATCCAGAAAGTCTTAGGTTTGAAGGGAAAATTCACAAAAATAATGATTAAGAATTATGAAAAATAAAAAATTAGCATTCCATATCTTTCATCCTATGAGCATTAATTTATGATGACTATATTGTTAAACTTACATAAAAATTAAAATTTAAGTATCATATGAAGGCCAAAAACTCTAGTCCCATTTTTTTGTGGGGAATAATTAGAGATTAAAAGAATTGAATATAAATTTCTGTTGTGATGCCTTGAGTAGAACCCAGGGCTCCCCGCATGTTAGGCAAATGCTTGACCCCAAGGCCCCCTCCATTTATTTTCAAATACTTAATTTTTTAAGAAGAAAATAATTAAGCAATTTTCTTATACAATCTCTAAATAATATAAGGTTCTCATTATATATATGTATATATATTGTTATAGTCCATAACACTGGATTCAAATTCTTTTCCCCCATAAGAAATAAATGGAGCCTTTTTAAAGATAGGAGTGGGCTAGTGTGCCTGGAAACAGAAGGTTTCCAAATATCCAGTGGTTTTCACTCGTAGCATGACAATACTCAAAGCTTTTTGAATAAAAGTGCTGCTCTGGCTGTATCTCAGTTCTAAAAGTGGAGCTCTAACTTGATATTCCAATAGCTCCTGGATCATTTTGCCTTGCCCATTTTAGCTCATTTTGACTAAAAATGAATCATTTACACCAAGAGATGTCATTTGCACCTCCGTTTCTATTAATGGTACCATCATTTTCTCTGTTGCCCTGGAAATAATTTCATATTCCTCCTTCTCATTTTCTGTTTTTCTTTGTCTCTCCTACTGAACTCCTCCAATATTAGTCAATGCTTAGTCACCAGGCAAAAGGTCTTCGAACTTCTTCCTTGTTAAGGTTTTCTTGTATCCCCCTGTTTTTTCCTTCCTGCTCCTTCTGTATCTCAGCCTCAGTAATAGCAGGTATGGTCTGCAGCATGCAGGTCCTCCCTCATTCCTCTGCTCCTCCGAGACCTGCAGAACATCTTTTATGTTCCCACTTGTTTTATGTGTCAGAAATATCCTTTTTGATGCTGATATTCTGCTGCTTAAATTCCCTCAATAATGCTTCCATTGGCAGAGACAAAGTCCAAACTGCTTAACCTAGATTAAGGCCATTGAGTCTGTCTCAGTAGCTATATGTCTTTTTTTAAACTTCATGTCCCATTTCTCCCTTCACTTTTGTAACCATTCTCACAACAGTCTACAAAATTATTCCAGTGCATGCTCAGAAATTTCAGTGGTTATGTTGGTTAATTTTTCTCTTCATAAATAATAACATGCATAGACTCTGGTCTTTATTACTTAGAAAGCATATCCTTTGTAGATTACTTCTGATTAAGTCCAGAGGTTCATAGAGCACCATAGAAGGGAAGGTGTAGGGAATTTGTGCTTTAGTTTTATATCATATAATTGTTGACTCCATAGCACTTTTTAAAAATGAAAATAAATCTGAAACTGGAATTATAGCTCTGAAAGAACATTCAGCATTGTTTTATACACATTTCTTCCTATATATATATATATATATATATATGGTACTTTTTCAGAAGTTCCTTTTGGTGAAGGCTCATTGGTCACCCCAGAGTCAGCTAAATATATTAAACATGCTTTATCTTGGAAAGGTCAGTGCTGAAAGCAGCCAAATAACTTAGTTCATTTGGAGGGTTTGAAAAATGTACTTGTCATTGTTTGGCAGGTTGCCCTTCCTTGGTAGTCAGGGTCACATTCCCTGAAGCACTGCCCTTCAAGTACACTTTGGATAGGAAGTGCATCCAAAGGACATCTTCCTGGTTGGTTTCTCAGATCCTCTTGTCTGTCTCTCTCACTTCTTCCCTTCCCATACCTCTCCCTCCCCACCTCCCCTTTTCCTCTTTCCCATCTCTTGTCTTCCCACTCTTTCTTTTCCTCCTCTGTGTTCTGCCTTCCGTCCCTCTTCTCCCTAACTCTTCCTGATACATCCTCTCTCCCCCTCTCTATTCTGCCCACCCTTCCTTACCTATTAAGCACTTCTTGGCATCATAGTAATAGCATACTCATGATTGTAACTTTAATTCTGGAGTCCTAAGGAGTTGTACAGTGGAAATGAATGTAGTCATCTAAAAAGAATGGTGAGGTTGGGGATCTTGATAATATTCTTAGGCAAACTTTTTGGAAGGAAATGGAGTCTATCAGGAAAAAGTTACAATGTGTGAAGCTAAGTTGCTTCGCTTCAAATTTTCACTGCTCACCAGTTAGCCTCATGGAACCAGGTGGCACTTCCCACTTGTCCATCTTGTCAGGAAATGCTGTGAGCCAGCTTTCCTATGTTTTGTCTTTTCCTCCTTCATTGGAATTAATTACTTGACCACTAATGATCATTTGAGAAAAACTGAAGAAACGAAAGCTCTTTCAAAAACAGATTTTTAAGTTTTATATTTCCTACTTTGTTAGGAAATAGTTTATTGGTTGTATTAATTGTTGCTTTTCGTTCTACTACCTTCATCTTGTATTTTTCTGATGTTTTCGGATATTCTAAATTTGTATTTATCTGCTATCCATCTTGAAAAAAATTTGTTTTAAGTAATTAGAGTGAGCTTTGTTATCCCCATTCATGAGACAGGGAACAGAGAGAGACTTAAAGTGACTTCCTCAATTGACGAGTGCTGCTTGACAGTCCTGCTTATACTGCAAACATTTTTTTCTAGTCTGTCTCTTCTCTTAACTGAATTAAGTTGTTGTAGGCATTCATTAGACATTTGTAGATGAACTTTAAGTAACAGTTATTTGATTTTTCATTAAAGCATTTCATGAATAGACTTTTGTTTTTTTAATAGTATGTATTGCCTTTTTATATTCCTTGATTTTTTTCAGATATCTTTTAATACCATGTATGTTTTATTCTATATAATATTTATTTTTTCCAGTACCCAACTCCCTCTTAAGATGTTGACATGTATTTAAATTTTCCTTTCTTTAGCTCTCCATTTTCTCTTAAAAAATAAGTACCTTAAAAGTAACAAGTATAACTTAACACCTAGATACTGACAATGCTCACACATTTCTTTTATATTGTTCTGCTGTTTCTGTGACTTTTCACCAGTGCAGTGGTGCAAGATTGCACATGAAGGTATGAACATCCATATTAGTGCTTCTAATTACCATTATTTCATGCCCATAATGTGCACATGGTCAGATGAGAAGCAGCAGCTTTGTTCCTGGGCTTATCCAAGGAACTCCAGCTGCCAGCAGAGTGCCAGTTTCATTCAGTGAACTCTCCTCCTGCGCCCTTTTTCGTCTTTGCTGTAGACTGTTCCCTAATAACTTGCCAGCTCTCTATCTTACAGTTGCCAAGTAAAGAAAATATCAGAAGTTCAAAATTAAAAAGGGTTGTTACATAAAGAAATTATTTAAAGGACAATTTGAGCAGTTGGGTGTTTAGTAAAGGATGTCTACATTCTGGAGAAGTTGAGTGTACTGGAAATGACTTGTTTATACATGGTCAGTTTAAGATTGAGGCCTCTAGCTTCTGAATTTACTTGCTACTCTACTGTCAACTTAATTTTTGTTGCTTTTTTCTGTTTCAACTTAACTTTTCTTGGAGTTCTTAATATGTGGCAGGCATAAAGATGAATTAGAATCTTCTATATTCAAAGAAGCCCCTATCATAAGATTGGAAAAATTTTTTTTTTTACTTGAACTCAGGGCCTTGTGCTTGCTGGGCAGGCACTTTATCACTTGAGCTACTCCCCTAGCCTTTTTTGCTGTGTTTATTTTTGAGTTAGGGTCTCACATTTATGTCCAGGTCGGCCTGGACCTTGATCTTCCTACTTGTACTTTGTAGCTGGGATAACGGGTGCATACCACTGCAACCAGCCATTGATTGAGATGGGGTCTCTCCAACTTTTGGCCCAGCTTATCCTCAAACCACAGTCTTCCTTATCTCTGCCTCTCAAGTAGCTAGTAGGATTACAGTCTTGAGCCATCTTGCCCAGTTGGAAGAATAGTTTTGACAAACAATTATAAAAGGCTCTGAGAAGTGCTGATTATAGTTAAGAAATGAAAGTTTACTTCTAGGTGTCAAGGCACATCCTGTGAACCAGCTCTTCTATCCTGACCTCCGGGAGCTTGGCACGACGTACAGCACTTACACACGTACATACTTTGCTCCTCTTTACCCACGTAGGACCACTGCAGGTGTAGACCTGAAAAGCAGTACACTTGCCAGAAATACTCTCTTTCTGCAGCATACACTGAAAAAAATCATTTAATTTAGATAAAGAAGGACAGTTTTATGGGTTTTTTGTGGTCAAATTTTTTTTGTGGTTCTGGGGATTGAACCCAGGGCCCTGCACATGCTAGGCAAGCATTGTACCACTGAGCTACACACCCAGCCCTGTGGTCAAAATTTTAATCTTTTGAAAGGAATGAATATTATATATGTAATTTATATATTTGCATATATTAAATTTTGCATATTATAATTTATGTATATATGCAATTTGGCCATGTTAACTGACTCAAAGTGTGAATAGGATTATGATACCAGGCAGCTAGCTGCACTCTGCCTCCTGGGGGGGGTGGTTCTTTTACTCAACCTTATTATTATTATTTTTTTCTTATGAAAGACTCTTGTTGATTGAAAACTTGGTTGATGTCTTAACCCAGAATTTTTTTGCTGTGATGGGGGAGAGCCAGCATTGGTGTTTACTGGTGCCAAATATGACTACAGAAAACTTTATTAAATAGGGCGTGGCTTGGTTGGGAGTTTTAATTTTTATTTTGAACTTGTGTGTTTCAAGATAATTGTCAGAAAGCAGGATGCTTATTACCTAGCAAATCACACAGTAGTTTTGTCTAATCCAGATTACATTTGGCAGCTACTACCTAGAATAAATAAAATGGAAATTGATTAAGAACATTAAAGTGAGTGCATTTCATATATAAGATGTAGGTTTGTTCGTAATTTCACAAAAAGGAAAAAGCAATTGCCATTGTCTCCTTTGCCAGAAGAATTTAAGTGACAGTGTTTGATAAAATGAAATAATAAAAATGATGTGCCTTTATGCATTTCACTCAGGAGAAAGGCTCTGGTGTCTTTTTCTTCCTGACTACTAACAGCCTTGCCCCTCAGAGCTCACTCTTTGGTCCTCTTGCCCCTGAAGCTCCTCCTGGGTGAATTCATCCATTCTGTCTGACATCTTGACCTTCCCTCAGAGCTATGACTACAGTTAGGTGTCTCTCAGACACTCAAACTAATACTCCACAGCCATGGTATTTCAGTATGGTTTCCAGTAAATACTTAATCTGCCTTCTGCTCCCTGCCCTGTAGGACATTCTTTTCCCTTCTGTGTACTCAAGTACAAAGCCTGGGTGACATTCTTAACTCTTCCCTTCCTCCCATATTCAAAGCCTGTCCATTCTCCTGTTCTGCAAATGCCCACTGTACTGCAGGTCGGGATCACCACCCTGAGCTGCTATAGGTCCTTGTTCTTGTTCCATTTTTGTCTCCCTCTTTCTTAATGCTTTCCCTATAAGGTATTAAATTTAGTTTCCCTAAAGTTTTAACTGGATTTTTACTAAAATTTGCAGTCTACCATAGCTGAAAGGCCCTGCTTAGTTTAACTTTTGCCAGGTTCTCAGGCTGTTATTTTGTGTCCCTCCCAGCTTGCTCTTGGCTTCAGCCATACCTCTTCTCTTTTAATTTCTCCACACTGAATTCTTTCCTGCCCAGGATTGTTGTACCTTACTTAAGGTATTCCCATCCACTTCTTCATGTTAGTCATTCGTCTCCCTCCCTACCCCACAAACACCACAAGGCACCCTACTTTCACCATAAAGAAATGGTAAATGTTTGAGGAGATAGATAAGTTTGCCCTAACTTAAGCATTACATGAAGTACACATGTATCAAAACATCAAATGGTACCATGTAAATATGTATGATTTTTATGTATCCTTTAAAAAATAAATTTAAAATAAAAATGCATAACAGATGACAAACCCAACAAAAATGAAAACTGGAACAAAACTTCCCTGATACTAGCCAGCATACATTTTTTATTTTTTTATACAGTGTTTCACTATATAGTTGACCTTAAGCTCAAAATGTAGTCCAGGCTAGCTTCAGACTCATGATGCTCCTGCCTCACACTACGTACTGCTGAGATTACAGGCATGCACCACCACATTCAGCTGCTAGCATACATTTTAAAAACAGCTATATTGAGATATGTGATATACAATAAACTTTAGATTTTTAAATAGTGCAGTCTAAAGCAGCATACACTATAAAGTGAATATAACACTATTGTTTTATGATGTTATCGAGCTCAATAAGCTGTTTAAATAACATATGCACGAGAGAGTCTTGAATGTATAGGGAAGATTATTCATTCAGTAAATGATTTTTGAAAATATTTGTGTATATCAGGAGAATGATTGTTCCTTAGAAATCTTAAGATACTGCTTATGCTTTGGGTCATTCAAAATATTGTCTTCTATTTTTGTACTCTAGGAGAATGTTTCTTCTGGTGGGAGCTCCCAAAGCCAACACTACGCAGCCTGGGATTGTAGAAGGAGGGCAGGTTCTCAAATGTGACTGGTCCTCTAGCCGCCGATGCCAGCCAATTGAATTCGATTCGACAGGTTAGTGTCACTGTTTTGGTCCTTTTTCTTAGTTTATATACTTTGATTTTTTAAAAAAAGTAATAGTTTAATAAAATAATAGTCACCTCACATCCACAGTGAAAGGTATATAATAATAAATGATTTTATCTACAAGTTCGTAGTGTATGAAAGCATTAAAAATATGTTACATTTCCATTGCTTTGGATGTCTTCCACTTTAAACTGATATTGTGAACATGTAGAAATCTGGGGAAAATGTATTAAGATGTTTTTGCCTTTCTTCTGAGAAGAGGGGCTCACAGGCCCAGCAGAACTTTTTGCTGTTTCTCTGTCAGCCAGACTGAAGCATGACTCACCAGTCACTGTTAAAGATTAGCTCCCAGGTCGTGAATATATCCAAGTCTTGGGTTGTGTACAAAAACCAGTTTAGGAATCTTTCGTATTCAAAATAGATTTAGGTAATTTAAAAATATTATATATTAGATTTCTGATAACTGAATTATTTTCAGGGACAAATTTCTGTCAGTCACGATTGGGATAGTAAGGGGAAAAAATACCATAAGGAAGATGAGAAATAATTTAAGTTTTATATTTATACTAGTGAAAAAATATGTATAATCCTGCACATATTCATATTTCTATATGTCTGTATCTTTGTGAAAGTTTAGAGAATCCCTAAAGAAATAATGGCATATTTGTTTTAGTATAATGGTTTTGTAAAATTTTTTAATAATTCTGATTTCCTGGCATTGACAAAGTGTTTTCAGATAAGTCTAAATAAAGTTAATCCCCTTTTCTATATTGTTATTCCTGCTAGTTCTAAAATGTATCCTTTCTGGGAATTGCAGTATCACTGACAGGAATCATTATGACACTGTTCCATTTGATGTGGGGCTGAGTGCCAACATGACTGCCATCCCAACTGTTAATGGAAACCAGGTCACATTTTTCTTTTCCATTTGAAACTCTCTATATTAAGCTCTGTCATTTTTTTCCATATATGCTACTAATACTTGGAAAACCCCAAGAGTTTGTAAGCAGGCTTAATTTTACCACAAATGGAAATATACCTGTTATTCAGACTATTATGGGTCAGAGCATTTATCTGTCTTCTAACGAAAATATAAAATATGAATAAACTGAATGTAGTTCAGTTTTGATAAATTGAATTGTTCAGATGTTTCTGTATTTATATCATAGGTCTTTGTGCATTGCAAGATAATTTATCACTGGTTTTTTGTATTTTTTTTCAGTACTGGGGTTTGAACTCAGGGCCTCCACCTTGAGCCAATCCACCAGTCCTCTTTTACAAAGGGTTTGTTTGAGATAGGGTCTCGAGAACTGGTTCCCCAGGCTGGCTTCAAACCACAATCCTCCTGATCTCTGCCTCCTGAGTAGCTAGGATCACCAGGTGTGAGCCACTGACACTGGCAATTACTTGCAAATTTTAAAAAATTTGGCTTTAGATAATTTTGAATTTATTGAAAAGATAATGTATGCACATGGTTGTAAAGATTTCACTCAGTCTAAAAGGATATACAGTGAAAAACAGGACTCTCAGATAGGCCTTCTCAGAGGCAGTCACTCTAAAGGGAGTGATTTTATCCTTTTAGAATTTTTAAATTTCTGTACATGTATGCATCCGTATAACAACAGCAACAAAAAGAACTCACAAATACAAACATTATATAAACTCTAAGGCACTGCCCTCTCCCTTCTTTGCCTGGGTCAGCCTTTATCTAATGATGCAAATTTCTTGTATATTTTTCTGTGTTGACACATGTGGATGTACATTGATTTTTGCAGATTACCAATAGTATTCTTTTGTATATATGTTCCCTAATCTATTTAACACATAGTTCCTATTGATCGATAGTTAGGCCTTTTCTATTCTTTTATTGTTATAAACACCACTATAGTGAAAATCTTATATTTGTACAAATATGTGAGTTTATCTGTATGATAGAGTTGTAGCTAGGGAGTTTTGGATTAAAATGTATGCATATTTAAACTTTTGTTAGGTATTGCAAACTATTCTTAAAGAGCATATGATTCCAGTTATTTTTTCCTGACACCTGTGCTAGTACCGTTTATCCCTTGGTTTTTATCTTTGTCAGTTTTTTATGAGAAAGTAGCATGTTATATTAATTTGCATTCTTTTCAGTAATAGTTAGAAAGGTGTTTGCATTTGTTTGTAATCCTTTTCCTGTGACCTACTTTCAACATATTTGTACATATTTTCTGTTGGTTTGTGAATCTTTAAAATGGCTTTCAGTTGAGGGCACTCCATCCTTTCAGTACTAAGCCAGAACCCAATCATGCTTGCTAGTGAATCTGTCAGCAAGTCAGAATCTTAACTGCTTCTCTTCTTGCTGCAAACATTCTGGTCCATGTCACCATTGTCTCCCACCTGGACTACTGCCCTAGACTTCTGAATCAGTCAGGGCACTGCCAGGAACGAGATGGCACACGTAAATAGTTTGACTGTTTACAAAGGATTGTGTGGGCTGTCAGGATTGCAGTACACCAGCACTAGTTGAAATTTGGCCTCTGGGCCTGAAGGGAGCAATTAACAGAATCCAGACAGAGGACTAGGTGGAGAAAGCCATGTGACAGGAACTGTGGCTTTGGGCAGAGGGCAATAGCCCGCCGGAAGTGACTGGAAGGAGGAGCAGAATGTTAGTCAGTTTTCTGTTGCTGGGGCAAAATACCTCTGATACTCAACTTTAAAGGAAGAAAGGTTTATTTTGGGTCATGGTATCAGAAGTTCTAGTCCATGGGCTCTTAACCGTTTCAGTGTGTGGTGGAGCAAAGTTGCTTACCTCATGGAATCTGGGGAGTGGGTAGAGAGAGAGAGAGAGAAAAACAGAGAGACAGAGACAGACAGACAGAGATAGTAATTGAGGGAGGGAAGGAAGGAGAGAATGGAGGGGTCGGGCTTCAAGGTCTTGCCCCCCAGTGACCTCTTAACTTCCTTTTTCTAGGCCCTGCCTCCTCATAGTTCTGCACTCTCCTAATGGCACCATGATCTGATAACCAAGCTTTTAGCATAAGGGCCTTTTGGGGACATTTAAGATCCAAGTCAGCCTTGCCTGGGCTGTTTCATCTCCCTGGAACATTCTTTTCCCCATGTCCTTTGGGTACTCTTCTTTATCTCCATTGAGATTTGCTCAAATACTATCTTCTCAGCACTGCCCTGGCCACCTCATTTAAAATTGCTACTCGTCCTTCCCCACTCTGTCCTCCATCCTCTTCTCTGCTTCATTTTTCCCTATAGTGCTCACATGGCTATATATTATTTATTTATTTTAATGAATAAAATAAATCCCTTTTCAATTTGTATATAAGTTCCATGAAGACAGTTTTTAAGAATTTGTTTTCTTCATTACTGAAATCACAGGGCCTAGAATAATGCCTGGTGCCTAGAATATGTTAGTATCTTATAAATTAAACAGATGAGCATATGAGTGATTCATAGTAGCTACTTATATAGTATGGAAATAGTTAAAGTCCTATAATATATGCATATATATGCATACATATTTAATCTGTTCTTATCCCTGCTTGTAATATTTTAATAATATTTTTGTATAAATTCTGAGACTTCCCTTATGAGAAGAAGGCACAACTTAAGCTAGATGGCAGTGGCTCATGCTTGTAATCCTAGCTATTTGGGGGCTAAGATCAGGAGGATCACAGTTGGAGGCTAACTAGCCAAAAAGTGAGACCCCCAGCTCAACCAAAAGCTGGGTATGATGATGTTTGCCTGTTATCCCAGTAAGGGTAGGAAGCTTAAATTAGAAGGATCTTAGTCCGGGGTCCAGGCTGGCTTGGGCAGAAAGTGAGACCTTATCTCCAAAATAGCCAGAGAAAAAAGGCTGAAGGCATGGCTCAAGTGGTAGAGTACCTGCCTAGCAAGCATGAGTCCTGAGTTCAAACATCAGTACCACCAAACCACCAATGTATGTGTGTGTGTGTGTGTGTGTGTGTATATATATATATATATATGTATATGTATATATATGTATATGTATGTATATTTGTGTATGTATGTAAATATGTGTGTATATTTGTATATATACACATATGTATATGTATGTATACACAGTTATATATACAAATTAAGACTTTTTGAGATAGGATCTTTCTGCTTGGCTTTTAACTCAGTTTTCCTGCCTTAGCCTCCCAAATGCTGGGATTATAGGCATTTACTACTACACCCAGTTATGACTGATTTTTATCCAAATGGTCTTTATTTGAGTTTAAAAGGAAAATGTACAGTTCAATAATCTAATCAGAAAAATGTGTATCTAAGGGCTGGGGATATACCTCAGTGGGTGGAGTATATGGTTAGGATGCTCAAAGCCCAGGGTTCAATCCCTACATCAAAAAAATGTATATATACATGTACAGGTATAGATGCACAGGTAGATACATAAAAGGAAAGGAAAGAAAATGTGTATTTAGTAAAATAGCACCATTAGACTTTATGGACTTTTATGGAACAAATGCTTACAATTTACAGTGTCCTCTCTCACCCCATCCTACCCCAAACACTTAACATCTTTGCAGGACAGACACCTTCTGTCTTTTCCAGGTTCTCAGCAGAGATCCTGGCTAGGTAGGTTTGTGTGGTTTCTGGAAGCAAACTGCCTGGGGTTCATGCCACTTACCAGCTGTTGATTTTGCACAGGTTGCTATCAGATTACCCTCATCCCCCTGGTGTAGTATCTTCATCAAACATGCTGCATACATATGGATTAAACCAAACGAGTCAGTTTATAAATAAGACATATAAGATGCATAGTGCATTTCTTGTTCAAATGGCTTAGTAAACACCAACAAATCTTTGTGTTGTTACTGCTCCTTCTCCCTTCTTAGCCATTCTGCCTGTTTGTTCCTTTACTCACCTCTGTATCCCTGTTACATTTGCCCTTTTCCTGTTTTCCTCCAACTTTCACGTGTGTTCAAATCTTTTCTATCTGAAAGAATAAGAGCACATGCTCATGTCTTTTCTCT